GGTACTTGAATGCGATTTGGATAGGTAGTTGGTCAGATCCTTGTGGTTTTTCGTGATTACCAAAACTTAAAAAAATACCAGCAAACAAATTGGAAAAAAAAAAATATGAATGATATTGTATTAACAAAAAAAAGGGAAAAAAAAAGCCCAAACTAGGATAATCAGATTGCAATATGTTGATCTCTAGTAGTGTCTTGTGTAATTATTCAACTCTGTGTTACACTGAATGCTCTCTGAGCGTTTGTAAATGGGATATTTTAAAGAGCAGAAAATAATAATACAATGTACTACATAATTTAATTTTTGCTAATTCATCTTGAGATATTTAGTAAATTTTGAAAAAAAATCTCAGTTCACAACATTTCCTCATGATATAGAGAACACAGGTACAGTGCTCGGTTTAATGCTCTATCTGACAAAACATGAATTCTCCATGTATCACTACAGGAAACTGGTAACACAATAACTGAGCTGCAATGTTCAGTTTCTTTGATCTTAATAATTTCTTATGAAAAAGGTTTATTGATTTCCTTTAATTGAGTCAGACATGTCATTTGTGTTGTCTCATTGATGCCAAGAACATGTGCTGTACATGTGACTCACTATATTCTGTGTTCTTTATTTGGTTTTCAGAGCTATCCCTAGTGCAGTTGAAGTCCTTATATTTTTAGCTCCGCTGTCAACTTTGTCGAGTGGAGCTTATCATATGAATCGTAGTTTGTTATCCATGTCAACTTTTTACTTATTCTTGAAAACCACAATTTGTATTGCTTTGATACATTGTGTAATTGTACCTAGGGCAGACCTCTCTTAGATTTGTTCATTTCATTTCGTTATGTAACGATATCTTAAATTCTCTAATTTTGATGAATATTTTAAATTTGTAATTTTTGTGAAAAGTGATATTTTGAACTTCTTGTTAAAAGCTGCAAGTATGATTGCTTTGATATTATACATACAGGTACTACATGTAGACCTCTCTAAGATTTGTTCATTTTGTAATTATATCTTAAATTCTCTAATTTTGATGAATATTTTTGTAATTTTTGGTAAAAAGTGATATTTTCGACTTCTTGTTGAAAACCGCAAGTCCAATTGCTTTGATATATTATACATATAAGTACTACATGTGGACCTCTCTCAGATTTGTTCATTTTCTAATGATATCTTCTGTTCTTTAATTGCCATGTGCATTGCTAACAGCGGAGCTATCTCAGCCGAGAGGTTGCTTGTTACATCCACTGAGCAAGTTTCTGAGCATACAATGTATATATGCAATACACATAGTTGGACTTCAATCACTTGATGTTATGCTTCCAGTGATATTATTTGAAACAAATGCTTAATTTTCTGTTAATATTAAAGTTCATATAAAATCGATATATAACTTATGATAGTTCAAAACTAAGATAAAATGATTATTTGGCATGATAATAGTTTAAGCCAATTTTTTCATGGATTGGGTTACGTCTGTCTGTTCATCCATCCGTCTGTGGTATTTACTCAGAAATTCCGGTTGTATCTCAAATTCACACTGTTCTGTTAACCAACTGGCAGCTAGTTTATTTTACTTTATTCTAACATTGACATTAGAGACTAACACATGTAAAGTGTTTTGCAATTCCAAGACATTTAGTAAAAGTAGTACAAACATGTACGTACAATTGTACAAGAAGGAGCATATAAGCCTGGCATATCCTTTGTCATACATAAATACAAGATTACAGAGGTGCTGTGACATTCTCAGTGGCTTGTTGTCATTTTCTTTAATGCCATAACATGGACTAGTTTCTTTGTGATATGTAATTTTAACTCTTTATTATGATTTCAAATGTAACTGATTTCAAACTTCTGACAATATATATATATATATATATATAGAATAAACTGCGATATATTTAAATAAAAAAAAAAAAAAAAACAACAACACATGAACCAGTTGCTTATTATAGTCAGGATGGGTGAAGTAACTTTCCATTGATCTCTGCTTTGGTCCAAACTTCCTCAATTGAGCAAGGCATCATGGGTATTATCACATTTTTTGTCCTTCTCTTCCCAGACCATGGTGTGATTCGTCAAGCAGTCGTATTCTTGGAAGATGCAGTCAATTATCGAAGTATAAAACATAAAGTAGATTTTAAATCGTTAAAGTTATACCAGTTTTATTACTCAAAAAGTATTCAAAGGTAAGTAAGTGATAAATATAAAATTGATAAGATCTTCAGAAGGAAAGTGCAGAATATAAACAGGACTATTTTGTGAATTTGTGATGAAAAGAGGAAACTGGTGGTGAAAAGGTTAATATTTATTTTGAGCTTGTGCAATAATTTGAGAAGGGAAAGTCACTGTGACTCTATAGACTGTGACTCCCTATATATTAATCCATGTTATTTCATCATTTTGTCCAGGTTCCTGTTTGTGTCCATTGCATTGCTATTATTGCTTGCATTTTTTGAGCGGCCATCGTCTCTAACTACTGGTTTCAGTGCTGATCCTCGTTATGTCGGTGATCGATTAGATCCACCTTGTGGTATCACAGAAAGCATTGAATTTGTCTTGTTGTTGTTATTTTTGTTTGACGTGATTTTAAAGGTAAGTACTGAATGATTTGGGATTGAAGGAGATGAGTGTATGAAGAGATTAAGACGTTTTTTGTTAACCCATCAAAGCCACTTTTCTCCCACCACAATTTTAGTGCACACTGTTATGTATTTTTCAATTATTTTGTTTTGTTAATTTTAGACCTAATGCACATAATAATTGCTCAACAATTTTCGATCAACAATGTTGGTGTCACCTAAATGATATTGTACTAATTTATCTGCAATATGTTCACTTTTAATAAAATTACGAGAATGAAATGTAGTGTGCACTAAGGCAGTGGCGATTTTATCGATCATTGTGTAGCAGAATGTACAATGTGGCAATTGTATCAATTAGCGTGTAGCAAAGTACATTATGATAATCATATTGACGAACGTTTTATCGATGCATTTGAATGTCTTCCTTATTTGAAAATTGTTTTTTATATTTATGTCACATTCAAACATTTTTTTTTTACATTCTGCATAACAACATATTAGGCTTCCTGAAATGCAAAACATTTTCGTTGGCATTCTTGACTATTATTTCACTAAATTATTACTACAAGAGAAAAGATGTATGAAACTTATACATATATAAGATTATTAGTACTGGACTACAACATTTATCTCCACGATGCCATCCTGCCTTCCTGCATACTTTGCAGTACTCTTGTAATAATCTCATATAATTACACTTTTAGCATCGAAAAGACTACGTGTCGGTCAATACGATCACTGTACTGCCTTCCTGCATACTTTGCTGTATTCTCATAATAACCTCATATTATTACACATTTAGCATCGAAAAGACTACGTGTCGGTCAATATGATCACTGTATTGCCTTCCTGTATACTTTGCTGTATTCTCATAGTAACCTCATATTATTACACATTTAGCACCGAAAACACTACGTGCCAGTCACTACGATCACTGTACTGCCTTCCTGCATACTTTGCTGTATTCTCCTAGTAACCTCATATTATTACACATTTAGCATCAAAAACACAATGTGTCAGTCAATACAATCACTGTACTGCCTTTCCTGCATACTTTGCTGTATTCTCGTAATAGTCTCATATTACCTAATCTGGTCTTCAGGGTTATTTCATTGGTAGACAGCAATTTTTACGAAGTCCATGGTTGGTAGCGTATGCTGTCATTGTGATGGTTTCATTTGCTGATTTATTGGTTTCCGTGGTAATTGTCTGTAATGAGGTATGTCAGCAAAGAAATAAGAAGTCGTTTAATAGATGTTTCATTGACATTGTCATGTACATTGTATGACTTCTCTTTAGATTCAATCTTCATAGTTTTGTGCCTAGTATGTGACTATTAGAAAATGGGAAAAATAAAACTTCACTATCATATTTGTTTGAGAACAAAAATGAGTACGGTGTAGAAAGAACATTTTTTTTAGTTACCTAATCACGTTGATCATTGAGGGTTACTTTTTTCTTCATACTGTAAAGGGGGTAATTATTCACTGGGTTTTAATTTAGCTTATTTCGCTGACTGGAAAATGCGCTAAATTAAAACCCAGTGAATATGTAAAATTTAGCATAGAACACATTATCTAAATGACAAAACCGTGAATTTAAAACCCACTGAATATGCCTGAAATGGTAAATCAGTGAAATTTAAACCCAGTGAAAATTAGTCATTTTACAGTATGATGCAAAGTGTATTGCCAATTTGTTGTCAAAATTTCCACAAATGCAATTCACCTTGCTACTTCAACTTTTGCTTTTCAGTTTGTGAGGATACGCCGTTTACTCAGACCCTTCTTTTTGTTACAAAACTCATCATTAATGAAGAAGACAGTGAGGAGCATAAAAAGAACTTTACCAGAAATATTCAGGTGAGTATTAGGATTTATATAAACAGAGAACTTAGTTATTGTAGATAGAGGATCAGAATCTCTTTGTGATATTGTATACTTTGGTTGATCTTTTAGTTATTTTCTTTATTTTCTAAATTACAAATAATAGATATGC